AAATTTAATGTATTTGCAACTGAAAAGTATATTTGTGTACATGAAATTTAGTATACATTTCATAAAATTTTACGAAGATTAGTATTTTTTATTAAAATTTATGTAAATTTGCAAAATTTAATATAAGAAAAAGTTAAATTTAAATACTTATAACTTCATTTTCATTTATAACATTAAATATTTTCAATGTGCCTACTTGAAATTTGCTGCCATTACATGTAACGGAAGTAAATTTCTATTTTTTTTTTTTTTTAACAATTTATTTAGCACTCGATGCAGAAGATGGTATGAAATAGATTTTATTTCACGTGAGAAGCTTGTAGGACTTTCTATCAAGAAATACATTCACAAGTACATTTCTATGAGAAACATCCGTGTAATTTCCTATATTAATGATCGCTTAATTGCTAAAAACTTTTCTTAAAAACTTTTCTTAAAAAAAATTTATTGAATTTCTCACGTTATTCAATAAATACATAGTAAAAAAAATTTGTGTATTTATGTTGAAAATAGTCCAATCACGTTTGTGTTAACAATTTGTGTTGAATTTTTTAACATATTCAAATGCTAATTTAGCGTAATGTGATTATGTTATTTAAAATTTTTTTTGTGAAATTATTGGGAGTACAAATTAGTTCGGTTTTTTGTGCATTTATTTCAAAACAAAATGAATGAACAAATCAATTAAAGTATTGTCCATTGCTGCCTACTACTTTTTCCCATCTCTCAGGCAATTTTCGAATTCCATCTCGAAAAAATAACTCGTCTTTGGAGGCGATCCAATTTTGGAGCCAATTTTCGATTTCTGCTAAAGAAGTGAACCGGTGACTTACTGCATCCTTCGGAACAACCAGTAATCAGAAGGAGCAATGTTCGGAGAATACGGCAGGTGCAGTAAAGTATCCCATTTGAGCGTTTCCAAATATTTTTTTACGACTTTAGCGACATGAGACCGTTGTCATGAAGAAGAATAACTTTATCATGTCTTTGCTCGTATTCCGGCCGTTTTTCTCACAATGCACAGTTCAAACGAATCAATTGTAGCCGATCGCCCGTCATGGAATCGCCAGGTTTCAGCAGCTAATAACATATAGTAAACAAGACTCTTTTGTCCCACCAGATACAGAGCATGATCTTCAAACTATGAATGTTCGACCGTGGTATTGATGTTGAGGTCGATAGCAACGATTGACCGGGCTTAGCGTAGTATTTTTTCTTCTTGGAATTGTCGTAGAATATCCACTTCTCCTCTCCAGTCACAGTCCGATGCAAAAAATTTTTTCTCTGCTATATTTAAATCAGTTGTTGAAAAATCGCAAGTGAAAAATCGCCTTTCAACGTCTCTCGGTTTCAGTTCATAAGGCACCTAATTTCCTTATTTTTGAATCATTCCCATGGCTCTCAATCGTACAGAAACGCTTGTTGAATTACCCCCAATGATTCTGCAAGCTCCTCTTGCGTTTAACTCTGATCTTCTTCGAGTAATGCCTCTAATTCTAATTGTCTTCGAATTTTTTTGGCTGTCCAAAGCGAGGCTTGTCTTCAACGCTGAAATCTCCATCCTCGAAACCATTCTCTACATGATTTATCAATTGGAACAGTGTCACCAAACTTCGATAAGCATTCGATGGGTTTCATCTGTACTTTTCTTCCAATTAAAGCAGAAAATCAAAATCCTCCCGCAAATGCTGCTTGGTTAACACAAAATTCGACATTTCAAACACAGTAAAAATCAAGATTTTTGTATGAAACTCAAAGCGATATAAACTGCATATTATTAGCAGATGTTTAACCTCTCTGAAACCACCAAAATCAGCTGTCATTATGTAGCACTCACAACAGCTGGAGCAATTTTTAGGGAAACGGACCGAACTAATTTGTACTCCCTATATAATCAAATCGACCGCTTAACCATATACTTTTTCCAGAAAAGTGAATTACCATCATATGTTTCTTTTATCCGACAATAATATTTACTTCTATATTGCATTTAAATTAAAATAAGCAATTCAGTTTAAAATTTACATAAAAAAGTATTTTATTGTATTTTAAGCAGGTTTATATTTTTAATTAAATAATTCAGTGACTCGCATAATACACAAAATATTAAGTAATGTGATTAGTAATAAGGCTCATAAATTTTAGAAAACAAAGAAAAAAGAGAGCTACGAGCCAAAAATTATTATATAAAAACAAAATAAAGTAGAATATACAAAAAAAATAATAAAGAAAATGCTTTAAGTTAAAAATTTTAATAAAGAAGCTAGACGTTTCGATCGCGATCGGATCATTTTCAATATTAAAAATATATATAATAAATAACGGTTGGAAAATAAACAAAAACATAATACAATAAATATTTAACTCTCTAAGGCAAATGCTCATAACGTAAAAATAATTATCATTCACAATTATAATGTATTATAATTATATATAATTGTATATTATAATTATAATGTATAACGGAAAGGACGCGATGATAGCAACTTGCTCAAATCAGTTATTATATGCTTATATTATTGCAACTAGTTATTATAATGTCAATGTGATAAAAAGAATAAGTATCCTTCGATTACAAATGAATGAAGAACGCAAATATGATCCTGTAGAAAATTATATAATGTAAGTGAAAATATAGCGCGAGATTGAAATAATGTAACTGAATATAAATTATAATATAACTAAATTATAACGATGGAAAATGAGTTAAACCATTAAAGACTACCATACAAACAATGTAATATGTGAGATAATATTTAGCAAAATTAGCGAAGATTAAGATTGCAAAAATTTTTTTATCAGTATATTAATGGGAAAGTTTTTTAATTATAGCAACAGCTAAAAATAAATATGCATGATCTTTAATGTAACATATCTTAAGTCAAAAGTTGAAGTAAAAAGGAGTTTTGGATAGTGTTAAACTTAGAGATGCGAAAAGAAATAAAAATATCTTGTCTTCTCTGATGTGCAAGACAAAATGTAATCACAAAAATGATATTCAAAGGAAGAAAGATAAGAATTAGTTGGAAAGTGACGGGAGGATATATATATATATATAT